CATACCAGTTGATTGTTAACTTCAGTTGCAACCTAATAACTGAAGTTTAAGTTAGCCATCACTAATCTGGCTCCTAGAACTGGGGAACCATCATCAAATGATGTGATTCTGAACTAAAATGCTGGTAAGCTGAGGAGAAGAATACGCATGCACTGGTTTTGAAATCCGTAATTATGAAATCATCACATTTGTGTGTGTGGGTGTGTGGATGGCTTTTGTTTTATTTACTGTTGTATTAAATCTAAGCATTAACTATGTTAGGAATGACTTAATTTGTGAAAGCAGATATTCAGGTGTGATGGTTTTATGTAAAAACAAACTGTATGCAAGCTAAGCCAATTGTTTAATTTATACTGATTTACTGTAATGAGATACATAAAAGATAAATGCTTTATCCTTAAAACTTAGGCCTCCCTAAATTGCTAGTCATTTGGAATTGCAAAAAGTAATATTCCGTTTCAAAGGCTTGTGATAACTTGTACTAAATAAATGAGCTAGATTACTTCTAGGAGTAGTTCTACAAGAACCATATACCCCAAAATGCATAATGTTTACTTGAGCAGATGTCATATAGAGCTGGGAAACTCAGCTTATCATTCGGCTGAGGAAACCTTGATTCTTTTGACAAATTACAGCAGTTCATAAATCTCTTACTAGTACAAAGATATTACGATGCCTAGCCTAACAAAAGAGTTAAAAAATTTACTTTAATTTACCATAATACACATCATTAAACAATCTTACATGAGCTACGTCATACTCTGTGAACTTTTATAACTTAACTGCTGTTATGTCAGCAGACTAAATGTTGAAACGATGAAAATCTTAAAGTCTGCAGCTTGTGAAAAATGCTCCTATTTGCACAACATACGTAAAGGCCTGAAGTTATTATGTAAAATATGGGTAATGCATATTTCATTAATTCTGCCTGTTGTTACAATTTGGCGTTATAGAAAGTGAAACAATTTAAACAGTCCCATGCTACTGAAAGTGAGTAAGACAGTAAATGGTTTGAGGTCCATACCCCCACCCCCCCAAGTAATACATTTACTAATACATGTTCTTACCAACATTATCAGACAGAGGATTAGAACAATCCATGAAAGCGTTTAACAGGAACTTTATAACATTTAAATTGGAACATACTTCTCTATGGCTAATGCCTATACTTGTATCATGTTACTTAGGTACAAGTTGTTTCTCCACTGAGCCATCAGAATAACATGGACTGAAGAGACTTGCGAACAGTTGCCATCTCCTGCTGTTGCTGTTACAAGAAAAGGAGATAATACTGAACAAATGCCATGTCAATATGATTCCTTTGAGCTAATTAAATGAATGTCAAATGACTTTTTTTACACAATGTTCTATTTTTGCATTTAGTAGATCTGATACTTACAGTGTCCATCATAATCTTCTTCTGCAACATAGCCATTTCTTTGCGAAGTTCACTTTGTGCACCCACTAGAAGATTTTCATTGCTCTTCTCCAGCTCTTCCATGCTCTGAAGATAAGGGTAATCTTAATTCAGAACTGTTCAATGTCAAAGGGTTAATTTCAAACAAACAAACCGACCATAATTCAGACTGCAATTTAATTTTTACAACAGCAGTGGTCACTGATAATTGATTAGTTTTGTCACGAACTTGACAGACAAATCATACAGGACTTTGTACTCTAGTCTACATTACTGTTCAAACAATATGGACCCTGTGAAACAATATAGACCCTGTGAAGGAAACAGTCCCCTCCACTCAGCATCCATGAGGTCTTGGCTGGTTATCCTGCATTTCAATAAAGATAAGAGTTCTACCAGAAAAGATTAAACAGACGTCTGTCAGGAATGATAGGGGTTTAAAATTTTGACAACCTTGGAGACTTGAAGCATGGACTATAAACCCCATTAAATTTCTTTCTCTTTGCACACTTCTCCAAACAAGCCAGGTAAAGCTCACTGGTTATCTTCCCTTTTGTACATACAGTTATGCCTAACTCTGTATGTGTGTGTAGTTGCATTTTCCTTGACTTGTATTTAGTTAAGCTTACTTGAGGCTTGATTTCTACCTTTTGATCTTCTTTGAGGAGAAAAATCAAAGTAATGCTAGACCTTCTGTTCAGTTTTTCATCTTTGATGAAGACATTTTTGACATTTTGGAACAGTTATTATTTATTAATGCTTCTGACATATCCTCTGTAAATTTCAGCTATCTGAAATGAAGAGTTGCTCTACTTCAGATTTATTTTTTGAAGCTATCAGACATGAAAAAAACCCAAACATATCGTAATTAACTGAAATTTCAAAAAGGGGCCTATTAGGAAATGACTTGAACAGAAATTAAGGCTTTTCAGAAACCGACAGACTTGAGTCCACCTCATGTACCAGTATATACTGGGGGCCACACAGCTGGAATGCAGCGTGGCAAAAAGGACCTGGGAGCCCTGGTGGACACCAACTTGAACGTAAGCCAACAGTGTGCTGTTGCAGCAAAGGTGGCTAAATTCTCCTAGGCTGCATTACGAGAAGTGTTGTCAGCCGATCAAGGTGGGTAATCTTTGCGCTCTACTCAGCACTGGTGAGACCACACCTGGAGTGCTGGGTCCACTTCCAGACTCCGCAGGACAAGGGAGACATGGACATACTGGATGGAGGCCAATGAAGGGCCACAAAGATGATTAAGAGACAGGAGCATTTCTCTTATGAGGAAAGGCTGAGAGAGCTGGGGCTATTTAGCCTGGAGAAGAGAAGGCTTGGGGGGGTGACAGAGCACTGGAAGAGGCTGTGGAGTCTCCATCCTTGGAGGTACTCAAAAGCCATCTAGACATAAGTCCTGGGCAACCAACTCTAGGTAGCCCTGCTGTACCACTTGCTGGCTGGACCAGATGACCTCCCAAGGTCCCTTCCAGCCTCAGCCCTTCAGTGATTCTATGGTACGGTGCCTCTGCACTCAGTACAAAACCAATCGTTTAGGGTACTTTCATTTTTCTCACAGTTTAGATTTCTAATACCTTACTTAGAAAAAAACTGGGAATAAAGTGTTTTGTGTAAATTGGCAGGGAAACCCTTTTTTTTTTTTTCACTGAAAAGCCAAGTTTTGGAGTAGTTCTAATATTTTTTGTTTGCTGTCTAGTATGTTAGCTACTATGTTAAAAAAACAACCAACACACCACAAGTGATTAGTATGAATCATGTGTTTAAAATACAGTATCTCTGTATGCGCTGTCCGAAAAAATGGTGTTTGTAGGGGCTGCCAGCAAATACAAAAATTATACATGAAGCACCAGGAAAGTTAAACAGGACTGATTACATAACCATCCAGCTGACGCTGTTATCATCATAAATCATTATTACCCACCACATTCTTCCCATTGCCATTTTAGTGAATGCTTACCTGGAATACCAGGTTACAGAAATGAAAACCCTCTCTAATGAATGTTGCTTAGGAAAAGATGAAGGGAGTTCTAACTGGGCAATTTTAAGGGAATTCCAATTGTTTTTCTTTAAGGGTCACTTTCCTTACATGAAGCAGCAACAGCTAGAAAGGTTAATGACAGGAAAAAACTGATATCTATTTCTCATTATGGGGGATGCACCTGCCAACAGTAATAAAAGAAGTAAATTGCAGCCTAAGATGTATTTTAATAGATTGTCAAGTTTCACTTTTTAAAATACGTATCAAAAATCTAAGGGAATAATTAAGACAAAATCCTGATGATTTAACTGACCTTTAAACTGGTACAAAACTTTGTTCTGTTTAGAAAACATGCTCTGAGGATTATGGTTAAATATTTGAAACTAGCAAGCCAATCAGATCCCTGTGAGAACACATTTAACGAAATCATTTATTAAACAGATGTAATGTGTATGCATGTATAGGGAGAACAAGCCATGTTCTTAACAAGTAAGGGAAAGATGCTAACATGAATATTCATGTAGGGCTGTTACTTTCCTTAACTGAACCTTAAATCTCTGTATTTCACAAAGGTTGAATTAATACAGCTTGTTTAAGTGATGTGATAAGGATCAGCTGCCTTCTAAGAAGAAAAATTTACTGTACCTTTAAGAATTGCTCATAGAGTTGCTTAATGGTTTTCAGTCTCTGACTTTGAACTATTCTTGCCTGTTGGAAAACTTTTTGTTGCTGACGAAACATATTCTGAAGCAGAAGCAAAAGAAAAAAATAATCGCATTAGTTAACCAAAAGTGCTTGGACAGCAACACTGTTGTAATTTATTGATTCAGAAATTCTGCCTTCACTGGAAATCTGGGTCTCTGCCTGGAAAGTTATCCTTGTTCTTAATAATGAAGGAAAGACTGAAGACTGGATTAAGCCCTGAGTCACCTCCTGAGGTCCATTCCAACCTGAATTATCCCTATGACATCCTATGAGGATTGCTGTCTAATGCAGTTATCAAGGGTATCCCAGGGAAATGTGCTGCCTAGGGAAAAGCAAAACTTGCCAACGTATTGGGAGTACAAATACAGCAACATCATATGATTCGATTCCATTGTATAGCTCCTATCATCCCCTTTCAGTGATCAAATTCTCATACATTTATTACATGCAGGCATATTTTTAAGCGATGTATGCGAAAAGACAACTACTTTCCTTTACTCCTTTGTTCCCTGAACCCAAAGTCTATGGACACACAGAAACAGCACACACCTTTCTTCTCCATGAGTGGTCTCGGCTTTTCTCAAGCCGTATTCTGGCCTAGGGCATCACTTTGTGCCATTTATAAACTCACAATGAAGCTTATAAATGCACCCCTCTTCACTTTAACATATATCCCAAAACTTAAACATTTACAGTTTGAGAGCCATCAAACTTGAATGAAATTTTTTAATCAAGAGGCAAACAATCGTAAAGTTTGTTTAAACTACATAAAGTGTTTTTACATTTCTTGAATGTTTAAACAACAATATTCCTTCCTTGTGAAAGTACCATGAAACACATGCCATGCTGGAAACTCACCACTAGTTTTTCTTCCTGCTCCTCTGCTTTCTGCACATCTACATCCCATTGCTGAAATAAAGTCAGGAACTGCTGGGAGAACTCATGATTGAGCTTCTGCCTATAAATAGACACTAGCTGTTAAGTATGACGAATGCTACGAAGAATTACAAGGAAAGGTAAAGTTAAACACTCACATGGAGGAGAATAAAAGGAGCTGGCATAGATAAAGAAACAGGCTATTTTGACATCTGGACATACGCACCCACACATCCCCCATATCCCACACACACACTCTCTGAGTGAACGTGGATTAAATACATAAGGAGACAGCACTCGTGTACAAAACTCACGTTAAAAAAAAATACAGCTACTTTTCTACATAACAGTGTCAGGTTTTCTGAGATTTACTATGTTTTTCTAACTCAGCTACAAATCTTGACTTTAACACAAGGGGTTTATAATGAAAAACTGATTAGCTCATTCGTTAGTTCATTATGCTCTCATTTCTCTAAGTAAATTTAAATTTTGTCAACGCAAGTTTCAAATATAGATAGATATAAAAACACCAAGACAGTTAAAAGTATTGCTGACTTTCAATTTTTAGCTGTCTCGTTTTTCCATTTGCCCTACCTGTACAATCAGATGTAGTAATTAAATATGCCTTAAGAGGCAAGAGCAATGTTATGTAGAGTGAAAATTATTTACAATGTGAAAAGGAGAATTATTTTCTTTCTTAACCAGAATGGTATAAAAATTTTACTGTACATTTTCAGTTTTCAAGTAAAACCAGAAAACTTCAACTGAAGTGGAAAAAAAACCCCCAAACATTGATTTAAAAGACAAAAATAACATCAAAGGTCATTTTCCATAAAGACAGAACAGAAGTAAACCCAGCTCTTTAAGGTACCTTGCTCTCAAAATTCCAAGTCTTAAGTTTCTCCATTCAAAAGAGAAAGCACTGTGCTGAACTATTACTGTCAATTTGGACACAACTGGAGGCAGCAGAAACAGAGGACCTGAGCAGGTATTTTAACTAGTAGATGCTACTTGCTATTTAACTGCAAGAAGATGGACCAACTATCCATGCTGGGACACAAACAGGAATTTGATTTCACAGGTTTGAAAAACAAGGGTAAATGTTACCTTTGCTCCTGCTGTGTTTTCCAAACATGTTCAATCTTCTGGTTACTGGTTTTGAGTGAGGCTTTTGTATACATTTCTAATCTTTTCCTCTTAGCTAAGAGAGCCTTGTTAATGTCAGCTAAAAATCAAAGAATATTTAGAAGTTAAGCGTACCAAGATACATTGTGACTTTTACTAAAAACGACGATGAGTTACGCTTTGGAGAAGCGAATGAGGTGTGTTCTAATGGAAAGAAGCTAATGTGATCTGGGCTCCTGGCTGCTGTGCTTGGCATGTCCTTCAGCCTGCTGTTGGCACAGGTGTGAGTGCTGCTTCCCCAGGGCCCTCCAAACACCCTGACCGACACCTGGTCTCTGCAGTTGCAACTGCTCGTTGCCCTGCCCCACCAACTACTCTACCATCTGCTTTGAGTCCTTTCTCTCTCAGGGGCCAGACCAAATAGGACCTACCGTGACGTGGCTCGGCCTTAGTTTCTTTCATTCTGGGCTGGATGGCAGTGGGTACCATATCAGACTGGCTCTGAGCAGACACACACAGTGAACTCAAACTGTCCAGCAATGTGAACTCAGGGTAGCTGCCGCGCCGCCGTTACGTACATTTAAATTGGTTCCTTACACACTGTCATTGTGTGTTCCCCTACTGATAATTATGGTCCAACATGCACTTCTAACATACCGTCCACACAATGAGCATGCACACGTGCTTGAGACACTAGCAGCACGAGTCCATCAGTTCATGCTGCCTATCTTCAAACATGGTATTTGAACATCTCACCGTCTGTGAATTCTCCATTCAAAGCTAGAGATACCATGCACAAACCTGACTGAGTACAGACATCTTGCTCTTTTCTCTAATATCTAATGATGTTTTAGTCACACCATCAAAATCCTCATTAGTTTAGCTGCATGACTGCAGTGCCAGCTCAGAGTTTGTAGACCTCAAGGAATTTAGTTATGCCGACACTTTTAATTATTTTTTTTTCCTAGAAAAACCACATGTTTCAGAGTAATATTCAAATTACTTAGATTTCAGAAATAAACTAAAGGTAGCATGTGATTACTATCACTGTGAACATATTGAACGAGGGAATGACAAACTACTTTTCATACTTCAGAGACTGTACTTTTTTGAAAGTATTCAAGTTAGTATAAGATAGTATATTTGTTTCACTTTAATTTACATTCAGAGATTTAACAAACAAGTCACAGCTTAAGGTTAATACAGCAATTTCCTTTCCTTCTCACTGTAGATTTCAGGAAACATCTGTCAAACCTCTCTCTAATTTGCTGAGGCATCTGCCTCTGCTAATGTCAAACCTATTGTTTTGAAGCAGACAGCATTCCTTTTCTGATCCCTTCAGATTGAAATCCTCCTCCTATCTAGATTACTTGATCTGCAATAGCATTCTAATGTGTAACTTAACAGCAAGAAATCTTAATTCATGGGTTAAGGAATTTCTTAAACTCTTCTTTCACCTTAAGATTTACATGCAAGTAATGACTGTGAACAGCATTTTCTTACACACACAATGAAAGTATTAACCAGCTATTTAGTATCTAATGCTGGCATTAAGATGGTTTCCCTCCCTTCTGCAGCTTTTTTGATGCTTTGTTACATTGTGATGTGTATTATAATGTGTTTTTTCTCTAAGCTGTCAGCTAGCTAAAATTCAGCTGGAAATTTAACTGTGAGTAAAGCCATCTCAGGATCTGATTATGACTAAACTAAATTCAGCTGGGTGACATGCATAAATCTCTCATCACTAGATGATTGGCATTACTTACTGTCATTCTTTAGCTGTTCCAGAAATTTATATTCTTCTTCCTGACTGCTGAAATTCTCTTTTCTACTGATTCCCTGTTCTTTAGATTTCTGAAGATGTGCAGTACAGACTACTCTAGCTCATTCTGTATCACAACTACAATCTACTTCCAAAATTCCTTGTCTAGGATTAGAATTGCTTGTTCTATTTAGCTACTTATATTAACATTTACATGCCCCTGATTTCTCACTCGTCTTGCAATCCTCAGTCTCTTCTACACCATTGTAATGAAAAATTGAATAAGAACAACAGCTAACTCATATTGTCCCTTTTCTCTACAATATAATGACTAACTCCTAAACTTCCAATCTTAAGATTGGAACTGATAATCGAAAGCACTCAGGCATCTTTCCCTTTATCCCTGGTAATTACCTATGCTAATACTTACATCCCACTTTACATGCAGTTGTTCCCTTCTCTTCTTTCCCTTTGTTCTACTTAGATACAACTTTTTTTCAGAAATGCTGAAAAATGCTACAAAGACTGGTCATTTTATGGTAAGGAATTACTGCCAAATCTGCAACTTAAATATTAATTGTTTTTTTAATTTATTAGAATGTAAACATACTTACCTCCAAATCTTTCCAGCATATTCTGTACTTCGCCCCTAAAAAACAGTGTTCTGAATTAGAATAAGACCTGGTGTATATGGTCAAAACTAATTTTATTCACGTGCCTATTATGTGTAAGCAGTGACAGAGCTGCTGTGGTTCTACAAGTTAAAAAATAGCTCTTCTCCTGTGAGAGGTCTCTTTTTTAGATAAATTTGCTGGTTTTTTAAAAATTTACTAGAATCTATTTACTTACTCCCCAGTAAAAAAGCAGTACTAGGAATTAAAGGGTCCTGAGTGAGGGAGGATGGTAAATAAAATTGATCGTTCCCTATACAAAAAGAAAACACAAAAGGTATTTGGAATATCATAGAATCATAGAATGGTTAGGGTTGGAAGGGACCTCAAAGATCATCTAGTTCCAACCCCCCTGCCATGGGCAGGGAAACCCTCCACTACACCAGGTTGCCCAAAACCTCATCCAACCTGCCTTTGAACACTTCCAGGGATGGGGCATCCACAACTTCTCTGGGCAACCTGTTCCAGTGCCTCACCACCCTCAGAGTGAAAAATTTCTTTCTTATATCCAACCTAAATCTGCCCTCTTTCAGTTTAAATCCATTGCCCCTTGTCCTATCACTACACGCCCTTGTAAAAAGTCCCTCTCCGGCTTTCCTGTAGGCCCCCTTTAGGTACTGGAAAGCTGCTATAAATCACCCTGGAGCCCTCTCTTCTCCAGGCTGAACAGCCCCAACTCTCTCAGCCTGTCTTCATAGCAGAGGTGCTCCAGCCCTCTGATCATCTTCGTGGCCCTCCTCTGGACTCGTTCCAGTAGCTCTATGTCCTTGTGTTGGGGACTCCAGAGCTGAACACAGTATTCCAGGTGGGGTCTCACGAGAGTTGAGTAGAGGGGCAGAATCACTTCCCTTGACCTGCTGGCCACACTTCTTTTGATACAGCCCAGGATATGGTTGGCTATATCAAATGAAAACAACTCCATCACATTTAGCATGAATGGCACAGTAAGAAAAATCCAAGACAAATAATATCAGTGGTGTTTTTACACTTTTAGGATGATCACAACAGAGTGCAGGGCAGTAGTACAACAGCTGGCAAGTGCAAAAAGGAACATGGTAGGTCAAGAAAATGTTTATCTTGTTTTTAAATATATCTCCAACTCAACAGCTATAATCCTGATAAAAACTAATTCAACATACATTTTATTACATTTACACTGCCTATAAATATTGAAACAAGCAAAACAAGCATAGTAAGTAACTGAAATCAGTATCTGTTTAAGACTTCTTTATTTGGAAAAAAAAAAAAAAATCTTAACCTTACCCCACATCATCTGGAACGACATGAGTTGCTACCAAAGGTCTTTTCTTTCCATGCTTGTCCATTACTGGTGTGTCGCCTTAATACAAATTTCAAAAAGATTCATAACAGTGTCTTGTATTTTATGGGGGTCGAGTTATTAAAAGTGTAATTACTTTCCTGTAATTCTACTTCTCTGAACATGTCTGATGGGCCTCAGTTCCCATCCACAACACATGCAGCTCCTAAAACTTTGAATCTGGAGTTGACAGATGGTGGTAAATTATTCTGCAATGCTGGATTTGAGCTGGCACTGCCTGCAGTTCCTCTAGGGTGGTCTCAACCAGCTTTAGTTTCTCTGTCCACTACTACACAATTACTCCCAACTCACAATGTAACAATCATCAGGAAGGTAAAAATAATCTAAAAATTTAAAAAGCCCAATCTGTAAGGATTTCATTTTACTGTAAAATAAGTACTGAAATTGTGTAATCCAACCTTTAAAAAAGCAAAATCACAATTAGATAGTTACATTCTTTACAAAACATAAAAATCCTTGGCTGTCAGATTTCTATTAACAGGGGATCTGGGTGGGGAATTCAGTCTGAAGAAATGAAAAAGGAGAGACATTAAGAGAAACAAACTCAGAGATAACTGCTGAAAGACAAAAATCCAGAAATGGAGTTACATCAAACTCTGCAAAAAACTGTCACATGATGAATGAGAACTGCATTTTTAAGCAAAGTCCACTTTTTTATGACACTCCCTCAAAATTAAACAAGAATCTCTTTGTTGAGGGTTATTTTGCCTCAGCTTTCTCTGCTTCTTCCTCTTTCTTTTCTTTGTTTCACAGTCTTCCTGAAGTACTTTTAAGCCTGCCAGCATTCACACTCCAACTACCCTACCCGACTCAGCTCTCCATGCAAGCAAGGAAAGCTCTTCTTCTGTTCTATCCTGGCCTCACAATATTATACGCAGCCAGGTGACAGAAGGATAGGGCATCAAAATAAGGTTACAAAATCATGTAAAATAGTCCTACTCTATTAAAGAACCCACCTGTAATTTTAAGAAATAGTAGTGCACTATACAGAGCTATTGTATTGTGTTCTCTCACCAATCAAAATTCTACAATAGGAGGCTAGCTGTCACAAACATTATGAGCCCTGCTTACTCAGACACTCACTAACACAGAAGTGTCTTCATCTCTATTCCTAGTCAAAAATATTATAACCTTCTCTTTAAAAAAAAAAAACGACGACAAAGAATCATATAAGCACCTTCTCTAATATCTTCCTCTGATCCACTCAGCTCTTTTCTTTCCTCCTGGAAGTCATAGGCAGCTATGGCTTGATCTTCCTGTGCTGGTTTACCAGCTTTTCCTCCATGCTTTCTTCCGGATGGTGCCATAATGAGATTTTCTTCCTACTGAAGCGGTATGTTTTATTTGTCACATAACTTTCCCCATAATACTTTGAAGATAAATACGTTTTCATGCTTACCTTGACCTGTTATGGACACCCCTGTAATAGTTTCCACCTGTAAGGATATTCAAGCAGTCAAACCGTTTTAGTTTTGAGGTAATGCACAGGATTATCCATCAGTGGTATTTTTAAGAACAGGGGAATAAAAATACCACTGCTAGTAGGAACATACTTGATTCTGCTGAAAAACAAGGAAGTAAATTATGCACTTTCCTAAGGTGCCTGCCTGCTCAGCCTCCATAATGTTTATTATGTATTTTGCCATATCCAGTACTGCATTCCCAAAAAGCTATGTCAATATCCTATTTTACAAAATAGAGAAATGATAAACCATAAAGAAGAACCTGATTCTACAAGCCATCCCACACTAGATGGACAAATGTACACACATATATGCTGTTTTTAAAAATCCTGGGCAACTTTCACTTTCTGAATTATCTTTATTTTTAGCTATTATGCCTCTGAGTTCTGTAATGTAACTAATGTAACCTCCCATCCTGGAGGTGTTTGTATGAGGCTTTAAGCAACCTGGTCTAGTGGAAGGTGTCCCTGCCTGTGGCAGAGGGGTTGGAACTAGATGATCTTTAAGGTCCCTTCCAACCCAAACCATTCTATGATTCTGTGATTCTAATGTGGTTTCTGTATTTGTAAATGTTTTACAAATACACAGTCCTCTTAAAAAAAAACACTATTCATTTCTTCACTTTAGTAGTATTAATTTTTATATATTCTGTGTATTTTTATAAATATTAAAGGCGTAAAACATCTAGAAGGAAAAGAGCATAGCTGTAACCATTAAATGCAGGAGTAACAAAATATTTTCCTTAGTGCTTTATCAACAATAGAAATAATATTTAAGAGCAAATAGCAAGCTACTGAGTCCTCGCTGAAACATTTCTTGTTATCTTTGACAGCAAAAGGTATGAAGCATTTAAAGTGTCACGTCATACACTTTTAAAAATCCTTCAAAAAAAAAGAGGATTACTAGGAAGATAGAAAAAATACCGAATAAAAAAAAAAAGGCCATAAGTACCCTGTTCTCCAAAGTGAGCAAGTTGTGACTCAGCAGTGGATGAACTTCTCATTCTAGATGCAGTTCAACACAGCTAGAAATACCAATAGGTTTTCCACAAACCAGAGCAAAGATAGAGCTGAAAATTAAGTTCACACACTGAAACTGAGAACTCCAGTAAAGATCTTTTGAATTTACAGGACTGTGACATTAACAGCTGCCTCACACACCTGACTTTCCCATTTCTCTTTTTTATAATTAGCTGTCCATAGCTATGAAAATATGATTTTTAACCATATATTACATACAAGATGATCACACTAAGCTACTAAGTAAGGTATACTGCCTTTTTAATATTCAGCTTTTTCTGTAGTTGATGCTTCTCTATGTAGTATGCAGTGAAGATTTTTAGACAAGTTTCTTTTAAAACAAAACCAAACAAAACTCTTTAAATTATTAATTGGAAAATCAAAAGCTCTTCTATTAAAATTATCCTCAAACAAGAACATTTTCAAGGCTTGTTCTGCTTTTCAGCTACTGTGGCTGTTGATTTAGGGAGGAAAGTACTGGTATGGCATCTGTCTGTGCACGTCTCTGTGGTGCCAAACAAAGCACTTCAACTTTAAACTGCAAGCATGAAAACTTACTTATTTACCTGTATTTTATCTCACATACAGGCAACTTTGTTTGTACTGGAAATTAACACAGAAAGCAGAACTCCCCAGTCCCTCCAGCCACTGCAAAACAATCTTGCCTCCTCACAACCCTGTACAGCCTTCATCCATCCTGTATAGCTACCTGCTTTAGTTGATTCAAGTATCTTCACTCCACGGTTGTGTGTTTAACAATAATTTTTCACAGAAACTCACCTCCTTTTTTCACCCTGCCCGAGAAGATGTGAAATAAACCCACATTGGTGTCAATCTCATTATGTGAGGCTTTTCACTATGGAGGCCCACTTGTTTCTACCTCAGAGCAGCAAGGGAGACTCGGGGTCTGCACCACACCACCACCAATACAGGTTTTGAGGGGAAGCCACTGGGGTGTCGAAGGCTGAGGAGCACCACCGTGTCCTAATCCTGTTCCTTAGTCTCTGCCCAACCACCTTTCATCCCTCTCCCTCTGCCCTGCGATGGCCTCTTCTCCGCTCTCACCGCCTCACTCCCGCACAGAGCCCACCACAGCCGCTGCCACCTCACACCCT